ACATTTTATGTCTTTGAGTGGAATACAGCAATTTCGAGCAAAAAACACATTGTACAGGTAAAAAAAATAAGGAATAATTATTTTTTGGTAAGTAATATAGTCATATTTTGTGGACTACTTCATTGTTGGGGCGGTGGTCTAATAATACATATGACATATTATGCCTAAGAGTTGCAGGGGGAATATAAAAAAAACAAAAGAAGCTAATCATGCTTGATCTCAGCTGATCACTTTCTGGCAGATCATCACTTTTTGGGCAGATCATTACTTTCCCTTTTTGGCACAACAACTGTCTCCACAGCCTGACTTCAAATCCCCTTCCTCTTTTAGGTCTTGTATCATTTACATAATTATTCCTATTTGCCAAATAGAAAAATAACGAGAGATTATTCTTTTTATACTTCACATTTACATGTGGACATTACAGGGCTGCCAACTTTTAACCAAACCTTGGGGTTAGATTTACAAATAGTTTGGACAGGAAACCCTGTCAGGGTTAGATGAGGACAGCTGCAGCTGTCCTCATCTAACCTGTAAACTGTAAAACTTAACCAGAATCATGGAGACATCAGACGAAGAAGAGCACATAGAGTCAGTATTTTTCGATTTTTGCTTCTGTTAAACTTTTATCATTAAAGCATTCAAGTAACCACCTCAAGCTTTTGTCTGCATTTGGGTCCTGTCAAACCTCTACCCCCATTGTAATAGTTACCTGCCTATTGTGTGCGAGAACTAATGTTTTCTCAAGTAGTTTATCTAATTAGGATAGTTCCTATGTCCAGATAAAAAGTCATCTTTATTATGCCATGGAAGAGATGTGGGAATGGAATGAGAGCAATGGTCTTGACCTAAGAACATAGTGTACTATTTTGATAAGGCTGGAGCCATGGATGTCTCCCTATTTACAAACGTTTATGATGTAATGATGTGATGATGTGGCATACTGGAGATGTATAAAAAAAAAAATTCCAGCGTTTTTATTTTCATTACACTGTCATAAGAGCACATGAGCTAGCCACCTTCTTGTGCTTCATGGCGAACTGTGAATCATGGCGAGTTCAACGAGATGTGAGCTCAGTTGGTAAGCAGCT